TCCTTCTTCACAGAGGACGCCTCCCTCTTCATATCAACCAATCTTTGACGATTTTCAAAAGATTGCATTGAAAAGGAATGGGCATGTTGGATGGCCTGAAGAAAAACAGAAGTGTTAGAAAATATTCTCAGTAAGAAACATAAGGAAAAGTCACAAGTGTAAACAGGAACAGGAACACTTACTTGAACGGAGTGTTGGAGCATGAGAGCGTAATTCTCATACTCACTGAGCTCAGCATTTCACTCCAAATCCTTCGGAAGGAGAAGAGCAGTGCTGAGGGCGACACCAACGTTGATATCATCAGCACTTTCGCTGGCCATAATAGGCCTATCCTCCAGAGTTAGTTGAGGGGCCCATGGAACGTCGGGCTTCTTGGACACCGAGGTCATCGCAGACGATGACCTCGATTTTTTTGATTGAGTAGACCCTGAGGGTTGGGCCTCAGCAGACCTTTTGGTGGAAGCAGAGGTTGATTTTTTGCTTTCTGCCAACAGAGAAATAGGAAAAGCATCCTCAGCCTCGGCATCAGTAGCCTTGGCCTTGGGCTGAGCCTTTTTTACTCTCTTCGGCTTTGGAGGGGGCATCGCGTGTGTTGGTACAGCATCGGCGTCGGTTGGAAGGTCGGCAAGAAGATCTTGAGCGACAAGCCTTGGACGAACCATCTTGGCAGTCTTCACAAGTCTTCGTCGACGTTTACGTTCTGGAATTGGTATTAAGTAGGGGGCCGAAGTAGATGGCAGATCGACTGGGTCAGAAGTGGATCCTTCGTCTGGTCGTGATATGGAAGCAGTGGAAGGAGTTGTGGTAGAAGGTGGAGAAAGACTCTTTTTCTTCCTTTTTGGGATATCGGGTAAAGTAGATTTATATGTCGGAATGATGTTCAGCAACAGGGGAGCCTTGCGCTTGTGAATTGGAAGACCAAGAAGCTTCTTTAAGTCTTTTCCAGGGAAAAAGGATTGACGGAAGTTTTTTGGTGGTTGATGAAGATCTGCAGGACAAGCAAACATACATTAGAAACAGACCAAATTTTAAAGACTTAAATAAAAACAACTAAGCGTTGGCACTGGGCTCTTACCCTTGCCCTCTTTAACTGTTCGAGGAAGAGGGTAGAGGTGGACATCTTCGTCTGGGCCAAATTCCCAATTTCCCGAAGCGATAACAAAGTCATCCCCAGCCCCCTTGTTGGAGTCTGGGAGGTCGGCTACAATTTTGAACCCGATAGACCTCGGCTTAAGGTAATAAACAAAACCCCTTCCCTTCAGGTTGAGGGGGCACATTGTATAACAGTACTGAAGGTCGGCCAGGGTGATCCTAAGATTCTCTTGCCTAGCTAAAGCTATAATACCGTTAATCACCCTATAGGAGTTGATAGTAAGTTGCATGAGGTTCAACTTGTAGAAATGAAGAACTTCACGAAACAGGGGATTAAGTGGAAGCCGAAGTCCACATTCAGTAAAAGCTACTATAGGAAAGGGCATCGTATGGTCTGTGGGCATGATGGTATCATCATCCCCAGCTAACTTAAGGTGAACATCGGCTGGGATAGAGAATTCTTGCCTAAAGTATTCGAGTTTTGTTGGGGTATTTACCCTATGCCTCCACATACCCATTACGTCGACTTAAACAAAAGAAGAATGTATTTCAGAAAATGGGCGTTTAAAGAAGGGTTGCAAGAACCTCGGCAAAGACCTAGGAAAGGACTGACAAGGCTTGTTTCAGTTTTCCCTGAAAAATTGAAGGTTCTACACACAAATTCCCAAGCCAAAGAACTATAAAGATCAAAATCGAAGGCACAGATCTGAAACAGATACGAAAAAACAAGAAAACAATGGCAAAATTTCAGATTCAAGAACAACGATGGGCTATCAGAAACACGGAGAATACAAAGGGTTAAAAGTCAAGAATTATGGCAAGAAAAGCGGTGAAATAGTGCAAATATTCAAGATGTAGCCACGATTCAAGATACAAACGAATCCAAGGCTTTGAACAAAGCAATAAATGGCAACAGGCAGACGAAAGCACATAAAGAGAACTAAAAGTGAAAGGAACAGAATCTTACCAGGAGAAATGAAGCCGGAGCAATATTTCCCGAGATCAGATGTCGGTTGTGACAGCAAAGAAAGCTTCGCAAGAATGGAAGATCAAAGACAATTGCAGAAGGGAGATTGAAGCAATGGCAGATTCGAAGAAAAAAAAGCTTTCGGAGAGAGAAAGAGCAAGAAATCAGAACGAAAAAGTGAAGAAAGAAAGAGCCAAAGAAAAGTTTTGTCAAAAACTTAAAACGGCGGCAAAACAGGGCATTTATTGCGCCTGGAGCACCGGATACGTCAGACGGCGCAGACGGATGAAAAGACAGCCTTAAGGCGCGTCACAGGAACGGGCCAATAAAAACAAAGCACGTGAAAGGAACAGTTAGATGTGCATGACAGCTCATGCGCGTGATGGAGTACATTTGAATTCTTGTTCTCAGAAGCGAACACATCGGCTTGGAAAAGAATTATCTCGGAGTTTTTGAGCCATTACTCAGAAAAGAAATGTCAAAATATCGATATAGGTTCCATCACCTCAGAATACCGAGGTAATAGAACCTAGGGGGCAGTTGTGGGGATATATTTTCTGAATACCAACACGTGGCATGGTGACGCCGACGTGTCAGCCGAGGTGCCACGTGTCGTGGTAGTTAGGCCGAGGTGATCTCGGAGTTGCCGAGGTTATCTCCGAAGATATCGGAATCCGAGATAAGCGAATAAGGGACAAGAGTCCTAAGACGAAGAGGGGACTTAACCAAGATAAGGATAAAGCTCTTAGGGAGTTTATCTTTGTCCCTTGAGGAGTCCAAAGTAAGCACTGAATTGGAGTTCATAGAAGTCATACTTTTAGTGGGACTTGGATTGAGTATATTATAAAAGAGAGGCACCCCCGTGGGTCTAAGGTATGCAATTTATGTTTTGAGTATTGAGTTTAGCACTTGATTATCTTTGAGAAATATACTGACTTGATCGTCGGAGTGCCCCCGGGTGGAAGAACCACCGCCGGAGCCTTTTCTTTCTGTTACAGGTTGCTGAAGCCATCTATTCTGCCTGTGCTCTCCAGTTGATCACTAAGCAGGCAGTGTGGTCAGATTTTCACCCACACAGGATGTGTCCCAAATTAGTTACTGATGCTAAGCAGGCAGTGTGGTCAGATTTTCACCCACACAGGATGTGTCCCAAATTAGTTACTGATGCTTCCCCAACAGGACCAGCAAGAACACCTCTTAAATTTGTTCTTTTTATTATATGCATTTTTGACTTGGGTGATTGTGATCAGAAACTATGATTGTCTATGGAGAAATTTTCCCTAGAATACTTTGTCCATGTTTGAGATACTGAGATTTTAGATTTAGCATTTATCTGTTGAAATTTGTTGATTTATTTTTTTCGTTGGGTAGCAAATTTATCTCCTATTTTCATGCAATGGTGACAAGAATAATTAGGCTTTGTTTCTCATTAAAATGAAGCCTTAATTATAATTCAAGTCATCTGAATTCTTAAGAGAGAATGTGGAATTTCATTTTCTTGGTCTAGAGCCGTGCATTGGGCTACTTCTGCAGTGGCTGCTCTTCACAATAGTCTAGTCTCCGTCCGAGTGCTCGGTTGGATATTCTGTCTTTTGATTCTTCGTTTTCTTCTTCTTCTTCTTTATTTCTTTTTTTGTTCAAAATAAATAAATAAATAAAGTCAAATTGTTGCCCTCCCCCAAAGGGTTCTGTTATGCCTACTCTATCCATTAGGTCAGAAAATTCCACCTGTGCTAATAACACATGGCATACATTTCTTTTGTCTCCTTTTGCTGCCTACTTCCATTTCTTCTAGTTTACTGTGCTATGACATTACTTGGTCAACCTTTCTAAGCAATATCATGTGCTTGAAGAGTTAAAGCATGAGCATCTTTTTTCAAAAAAAAAAAAAAAAAAAAGATAAAAATCTAAAAACTTGAGTTCATTCAGCAAAATGCTGCACAATTTCTTACCATTTAATCCTTTAGATATATTGTTGTGCACAAAACCTGCAACCACATAAGGAGGCAGGTTCACTATTAGTTTTTAGAAAACAAGTGTGTGTTTTTTTATGTGTATTTTAAACAATATCAAACATATGATCTCATGTCCTCAGCAAATCAAAAGCAAAATAGGCAGGAATTAATTCCTTTGTTTTCATCATTGTAAAGTTGATATATATATATATATACTATCCCCCATTTTTTTTCCTTTTTTTTTTTTTTTTTTTTCCTTTGTTTTCATCATTGTAAAGTTGATATATATATATATATACTATCCCCCTTTTTTTTTTCTTTTTTTTGCCGTAGCAATAGGCTTATTTTGTCTTCGAGAAAAACAGTTATGAAAGCAGGAACTTTTCTGTCATAGAAACTAGATCACTTCAAGGTTGTGCTTTGTTTAACAGAGTTACGGGACTGGTCAACACTTCCTACAGAAGAATCTAAGCTCAAGGGCCTATGCATAATAGAACTAGACAAAGTACAAATGACCAGCACACCTCCATCATTCCTGCCTTTTGCTTCCCCATCTGCTTACAGTTCCAGATTAATAAATCTAAGCCCTCCTTTTGGTTGACCTTCACACAAAAATCCAACAAAAGAAGAGGAAGAAGAAGAAGAAAAAGAAAGTTCCTATCAAGAATGGCCAAACTTCTTTGTAAAAGATTTACATTAATGTCTTTCTATAGCATTCATAACTGTAAAACCTTCCCCTAAATTTGGCTACATTACTGCAGAAAAGACAGTTGGTATTATTTAAATGGCTATCTATATAAAATACAATATAATGCTTGTCTTCTACTTATTGTATATACCTACCATTTTCAGGCTGTGGACACATACTTTTATCTGTATAGCTGGTTAACTTGTTTTGACCTCTCTTTATCCTTATAAATTGAACCTGGTTGGTATACAATTTCAGGATAGTGAACTATGTTAAAAAAGAATCTGTTGAGGTATACAAAATTTGATTATACATGCATGCATGCATCTGTGTATACATGTTTGTGTTTTATAAGTAGATGCCTTTATACATCTAACGAAACACCTGTTTAACACCCCAAATCAACTGATTAAACTGACCTACCTTCTTATATTGCTAAACCAATAATGTCTGCAACTCAGACCTCTCTACAACTTCCTGTATTTGACATCTTGCAACCCCTAACAGCAGCCTCAAAGTCTTCCCTCTCTTTAGCCTGCAAAGAATGGGGTTTCTTTCACATAACAAACCATGGAATCTCCAAACATCTTTACAGGAAACTCTATTCTGTTTCAAACCATCTTTTCAGCCTCCCTTCCGAGGTAAAACTCAAACTCGGTCCCTCATCAACCTTAAAAACCTACACTCCTCACTTCATTGCTTCCCCTTTCTTTGAGAGTCTCCGTGTGTCTGGACCTGATTTCTTCGCCACTGCACAGAGCTCTGCAGAAGTCCTCCTTGACCACCAAAGTTCAGAATTCAGGTAAAAAGATCCACCACCAAGTAAACAGGTTCCAGTTTGTTTTCATGGCATTTGAAGGCAGTATGGATCCATGAAAATGGAAATAATGCAAATATAAATTCATCACAAAAAAAAAGTGATGCCTTATGAAATTACATCATTTTTCTTGTACGCTAGAACTGATCTTTCACATTTTTGAAAACATGATTATTTTAGAATCTATATGTCAATGTAGACTTCAAATTTGAAATGAAGCAGAATAACATGGTTTTGTTTTTTATGCTTACCTTTCAGTATTTTCTTTCAACTCTACTGAACTTGTTTTCAGTATTTATGTATGTAATTACTTTTTGCTAGTGAGATACTGAGAGAGTATGGAAGCCAAATGACAAAGCTATCACAAAGAATTATCGAGATTGTGCTCATGTGCCTTGGGGAAGATTTTGAGAGGAAATTTGAACTGGAGTTCAGTAACTGTCATGGTTATTTAAGAATAATCAACTACTCGCCGCTTGAGTGCATGAAACAGAAAGAAGCTGAAGGTCTTGGCATGCACACTGACATGAGCTGCATAACCATTGTCTATCAGGATGAGATTGGTGGGCTTCAAGTTAGGTCAAAGGAAGGGAAGTGGATGGATATAAATCCATGTGATGGTACTCTTGTGGTGAATATTGGAGACTTAATGCAAGCTTGGAGCAATGGAAAGTTAAAATCATCTGTGCACCGAGTTATTCTAAAGCAACCTGTTAACCGATTTTCACTTGCTTTCTTTTGGTGCTTTGAAGATGACAAGGTCATCCTTGCACCTGATGAAGTGGTTGGTGAAGGGAAATTGAGGATCTACAAGCCTTTCATTTGCACAGATTATTTGAAATTTAGAGAGAACAGTGAGAAAGGGAAGTTTGATAAAGTTGGTTTTACTGTAAAAGATTTTGCAGGGGCTGGAGGATGAAATGTCTTTGTAATTGTGCAGTATATATATGTGTGTGTGTGTGTGTGTGTGTGTGTGTGTGCATTCTTTGATTGTTTCTTTGTGTGTGGGAGTACTTGAGTTTATGTTGAGAGATTTGAGAATAATGGAAGACAGTTTGGATTCACTGAGATGGGATTTGGGGTTGACTCTTTTGAGTGCTTGTTAGTATTTGGTAGCTTCTTGAGGGAATTCAAGTGACATTCTTTTATTGCAAATTGGTATGTGCTTATGAAATATATTATTTGTTGGATTTGGTGCACATTTGTTTATTTATTACACTCCATTAAAGACAAACTTGCTTAAGGTTGATCTTTTTCTACTTAAGTTATTATGTATACATAGACATGCATGAATGCTTTGTGAATAATGTATGTAATGTACACACCAAACATTCAAGTAAAATGCCCAATCATAGTTGGAAATCTGTCTTAAATACCTTCTAAGCAGGAAACATCATTGAGTTTTGGCAATGAGATCCAATGTACGAATTGATCTAACCAAAATTTTTTCTGTTCATTATGCCTTGAATTGACATGCGAGACAAATTCAAAAGTTTACAACATGGTTTACCTGTTAGTTCCCAGGGTGCTGTTGTTTGGCACTATTTTTTTTTCTTAGGTTGGAATTGCATTCGATCTTCATTGATATACGTAGTTTGTTGGTGATTGCAGATAGGTTCATTAAAATGAAATAGAATTGAATGATCATTCTATCAAAATGTCTATTCTCACGTTTGGCTCAATAAAAAAATATAATGTAAATGAAATTATAATTCGCTATCATAAAGTGGTTAAGAAATGATAATTTCATTTTAATCTAATTTCATTCCTATGAATCAAATACTATATTGTTTATGTTTGATGTCATTCTTCCAAGAGCATGCAAGAAGTTGAGAAATGTATAGTGATCTCAAACTTCTACATTTGTATCAGGGCTAGCATTGGTTTTAAGTGAGAAACTTAAGAAGCACTGTCAATTAACTTGGTGTTTTCTATTATATCATAATCTAAATAAGTTTGAAGATTGATGATCATCAACTTTTCTCTAGCAGGATGGTCATTTTAACCATTTCATGCTTGCTCAATTCACAAATCTGGACTTGGTATTTGAATGTACACATTAGTGTCGATTTAGATAGACTTGGATTTTAAATGCATAGATTGGACATTAATTATTCAAGAAGAATATCACAAATTTAGATTTAATAATTTAATTATAAATTTTAAGATTAAATTAAATAAATGGTAGATTTAAAATAAATATAAAAGTAATTATTCACAATTCATGGTAAGAATTCTTTTCTAGCTACAAGAATTCTATTAAATTATATCTCTTCTATCTTAACTTAACTTCTACAAATTTTCTATCAATCTATAAAAGTTAACTCTCCAATATTTTCATCTCAAATATTTTAATTTGAAATCCGTATATATTCAAACTGGCCCTTACCGTGTAGTGAAATCCAAACCCCATACAAATTCCTGCTAACAATTTTTTTGATTTCCAAATCCTCTACAATTTGAGTTTCATATAGGCTCAGGTTTGTCTCTAGTGTGGATGGAAGGGTGTTATTGGGCTTCGTGGAGCCTACTATAGGGCTCGTTTTGACAATTTAAATAGTTCATTTTATTAGATTTTATGTGTAGGCATCCACATAAAAAATCAGATTGATCTGATAATTATAACTATATAATTTTGTTATATTTATCTTCAAAAAAATGAATTATCGAATGTTCCAATCAATCTTTTTCTTTTCTTTTTTTTTCTTTCTTTTTTTTTGTGTAGATAATCCACACATAAAATCTAACAAAATAAATTATTCAAATTATCGAAACAAATCTCATTATGGGCAACATAAGGCCCTACAACATCCTCCAGTGAACTGGAGAGAAAACTCACCATTTCATATAAGGGGTATTACTAATAACAACCTCAAGGACAGTCAAGAATTACATAATGTTAAAATATTTATAATTTAATACAAAATTTAAAATGTTTTAACATTTTTATATATTTTAATACACTTTATACATATTTTTCAACACTAAAAATAACTTTCCCTTCCTATAATTTGCCACTCACTGGTCTGTAGTATTGGGTTTACATAATTGTATATGAGAATTTTTTAGGTGCATAAGAAAGACTTGCATCTTGTAAGTAGAACTTGTATTGCACCCCTATAAAAATTAGCCTATTTCATCACTGGTTTATTTTCAGGAGTAGGTTAAAAATTTATTTTTTGATTTTTTTTTTTAAAAACGTGTAAAAAAATAAAGAAGTGATGTGACTCAAAAAAACTAAAAAGTTAAAATGCTGACTTTTAGCTGAGTTTCCAAAATAAGCATCTAGCTGAAATGTTATCTCTCCAAAAGCCTTCAAGTAAGTCTATTTGAAAATATTAATGATGTATTTGGTTCAAAGATTTGATGGAATTTGTAAATGAAAAAGAGAAAGAAAGAAAAAGTGAGGGAAAAAAAAAAGGAAAGAAAAAAGATTTCACATTCACTTTTTTACTTTATTTGTTCTTTTCCTCCACAAATTCCTCTTTAACTATTTGAGTCAAATACAACCTAAAAGTGCACATGGTTAGCCATTTGTAAGACCAAATTCTTTATTTCCTTTCTCTTGTTTTAAATAATTTTTTCATCATATGATTAGTGTCAAGTTAAAGAAATTTATCTTACGATGGAGAGATAGTTTGAGACATAAAAAATGAAACAGAAGATATAATTTGCTTATGTGAAAGTTGCTGCATTTTTATTAAGAAAAAAAAAAAAAAATCTCGTCAATTTGCATAATAAATATTTATCCTATTTTGTGGATGGCTGCAGTAGTCAACCAACTTAAAAGAACTAATATGACTTTTTATTTATTTATTTTTATGAGAAACTAGAAAAGGATTAATTAGCTAAATTCTGTTTGAATTAATTTAATATTGTTATGTATGCTTGGCCACAAAGTTTCCTTAATGATTAGCTTTAAGAGTCAAAAAGAATCTAAAAGCCAATTAAATTCCAAGGGAAGCCGGGTACAAATGGTGCACGTCTGGAACTTGGAAGGCAGCTAGGGATCAAATTACAACTCACTTCCAACTGGCAAACCAAGCAACCAAACAAGCATTTATTCATTAATTTTGGAAAAATTGCATTTCAATTGGATAGTAAAAAAAATAATTTTATTTTTATAATGGTGCAAGTCTCTTTTTTCTTTTTTGGCATGAATTTTTTGTGAAAAAAAGAAGAAGAAGAAGAGATTAACATGTGGTATACTTATTTGGATTAATTACACCAAGATCCGATCAACAAATGTACATATCACTTTGACTCCCTCATCTATGAACCCATATATATTAACCTCCTCTGTTATGAAAATCATACAGTATACCCCTTTTGAAAGTGGTTTGCAAAGGGTGAAAATGATACCTTTTTATAATTAAGAGTTGGTTTGACATAAACTAAATAATACAAAAAGTCAAAAAATCACTATCCTATTTAAGTCACATCATCTTATTTAAATCACATCACCTCTCTAACACATCACATCAAACCCAACCCAAACCCAATCCATATAAGCCAATAAGTCAAAAAGTACACTTTTTTAGAACATCCCAAACCAACCCTAAGAGGCTAAAAATTCACAGATTCATAGAAACTGGAAGTCAAAATAATATTCACTAATAATTTAAAAGTCTTGGTGTAAGTAAACATAATTATTTTAAAATTGTCCTATTTATTTACAATTTTCTCATTAATCTTAAACTGAGTGAGTTGACTTAGCCAAAAACACAAATTTGTTGTTCCATTCACTGTGTGTGATGATGCAAACAAATCCATTCAAAGCTCTTTCAAATGTATTATTATTATTATTATTATTATTATTTTGTAATGTACCAGGTCGAGATCAAGAGTTAGAAGCAACAACAACAGTAAACTCCAAATAAAAAGCACATAATTGCATGGTTACATCAATCAAGCCAGCCAACCAGCCAGCCACCCACATGACTCATATGTGGTTTTTTCAAATGTGTTACAGGGTTTTGGACATATGAACATGAAGTCTAGTGAGTTTGAAACCCTCAAAAGCCTTTAAAAAAAAAATTGAGCCTAGATCCTTATCTCGGCTAAAAAAGAAAAAAGTGTTAAAAAAACCTGCTAACCTTCTTGATTGATCTTAACCAGGAACAAACAATAAGAACCCATTTTAGTTCACAATTATCTGAAATGCTATAATGGATTCTTTTGTCAACTTATGGTTCAACTCAAAAAAAACCTTCTACAACAGCCTGTCAAAAAATAGCATCACCAAATTTCTGTCAAAATTTGGCACAAAGTTTGCCAATGTCATTTGTGCCAATTCAACTCTTGCAAGAGAAGTTTCGATCCAATGGTTTGGATGGGAAACATCTAAGCAATGGTAAAAATATTGTCAAAATTTGACATTTTAATAGTGTAGCATACCAAAATAGATATTCAATATTACTATTTTGATAAATGACCAATGCAGTTGCTATCAAAAACTTGTACCAAACAAATATTTATGGGTTGCTCAAGATTTTACTAGCTTTATTAGTATTCAGCAGCCTATGTTCCTGTGGAAAGTCTATTTACGCCATTCCAACTAGTGGTTACATTAGGTCCAGCAACATACGAATTTAGTAAGACGAGCCCATGAACATTCATCAGGTTATACTTCCCAATCCTGTATCAAGCAGCCCTCATGCACATATCGAATGAATTTTCTTGAATAATGTTGAAAATTGAAGAACAAATTTTCTTCTATATCCTTAATAACCCATGCACTCACTATCTGCCATGCCATACTAATTGTGCCGGGTAAATTCTGCACTAATAGAATTGGAGCTCTGTAGTCAATCAGGATGATCAAGAAACCTTTGACCTGCAAGACAAAGAACACCCTAAGTGCTGCCAACTCTGACTTTGGCAATAGAAGGCTGTGCGATCCTAAAGTCAAGAATCCAAAAAGAGATGGAGAGCAAAGGAACGAAACGCTAGAGTTCAAAAAGTTTTAGTGGATTTCCGAAGAAGAAGAAAGTGCCCCTCCCGTGCTCTCTAAGATGCACATGGGATAACCGCCTCATGTACACCCCTCTATCAAGTCATCAACCTATACGAGAGCAGTCTCTTACCCCATGTGACTCAAGATCCTTCACAATTTGATATCATCAAATATCTTAGAGCCTTCAGTAACGTGTACTTATCCTTATCCATGGGTGAACCACCTCCAATCCACATAGGCACACTACTTTGATCTATGCCTCCATCCAAGTGAATGCTGGCAAGTATTATTGCTCTCAAGGGTGCTTGGTCCAAGTTGCCTGACCAAGCTCACTACAGATCCAACCCAGACTGACCTTATGCTATCCAATCATTCGGCCCAACTAGTTGTGTGTCAACTGCCCCAGTTTGGGGCTTGATTGTAAAGGTGTCCGACTCAAGCTGTAGAGGATTCCAGGCCTTGTCTGTGACGACCCCAACCTCCAAACTAGTACATTATATAATTTTAATGAGTTTAATAGCATGATTATGTGCTTAATTGTGTGATTACATGTCTAATTCTATAATTATCTGTTGACATATGGAATATCTGTTTAAATTGACAACTTAGAGTCGGAAATGGAGAGCCTAAACGACTTCAGAAACTGAAATTGACTAGCCCAATAGACTAATTAAAATATTTAGAATTTTACGGCAACTTTAATTGAAATTTGATTTCGATCAAAATAATTAGAATAAATTGATTGAATTAGTTAGAATTAAGCCTAATTAATTAATCTTAATCACATTTGATTAGGCTAACTTAATCACACCCTATATAAGGCCCTAATTAAGCTTATAGGCTCATTTTTATAACTCTTGGCTGAGAATTGAGAGAGAAGGGAGCAGAGCTCAACATATTTAGAGAGACAACAAAGAGCTTATAGAGAATTGTGGAAGATTGAAGGGTTAGAGCTATAATACAACTGAATTTACACATTAGGTATGAAATTCATCCTAAATTCTTAGAATGTGTAGAAACTAAGTTCATGGAGTTATAGGATCATTTGGTTGAATTTGAATAGGTTGAGCATGAGTTGTTATGAATATGATGAATTGGAGTTGAATTATACACATGCATGCATAATTTGAGTTAGAATTCATGAAATTCCTACAGGCATGACACATTTACACCTTAATTTGGAGAATCCTTCATGTTTTCATGCTTCTCATGTCACTTGATTATATTTTGAACATGTTTTGAAGAAATGTACACTTAGTTTGAGTTAAACTTACTTTATAATTTGAGGTTGAAGTCTTTTGTTGGGAAATTACCATGGTTTTGAATAAATGGGTTCAAATTGGAAGTATTTTCATGTTATATAATGATTCTCCATGTTTTTGTACAAAAAACCCAAGATTTGAGGCTTTGAATACCATGTTTGAACTTCAAACACAGTTCTGAAAATTCCAGAATTCGTGCTATCCGCTCAAGCGAAGAAAGCTCCGCTCGAGCGTGAGAATCGAGCTCCTAGAAATTTTCTGAAATTTTGCAAGTCGAGCGAGGACCCTTTTTCTCAGTCTTCCGCTCAAGCGACCATCGAGCGGAAATTTCATATAACCAATACTTTTACAGACCGCTCGAGCGAAGAAGACATGCTCGAGGGACCACCTTTGTTTTTAATCCCCCGCTCGAGCGTGGGAAGTTACGCTCGAGCGTGGACTCTGTTTTCAGCAAATTTTGAGAAACTCTTTTGAGTGCATATTTGCATCCTCATGTCACTCCAAGCATACTTAGGCACCATTTGGACTCCGATAATCATAGAATAAGTAAGAAACACATAAAGAAAATTGAATTAAGGAAATGGAGTTTCCATTGCATTTTGTTATGTGTTTTGTTTAGGTGGGCGTTCGAGGCTTAGTGACAACGCAAACAACTGTGAGTAATAACTTTATAAAGATATGTTCAAGTTATCTTTACTTTCGATAATTTTATTGCTATCAAAATGGATATGTGATGATTGAACGAATTATTGAAACGTTATGATAATTGATAGCACGGTCTACTGAAACGTTATTTTCTCATAATGAATGAAGTTCTGTTTTGAAATAGTTTTGTGGCATCCATTGAATTTAGACCCTTGCCTGGGGGAGATTAATGCCAAGGCTTTGACCCTTGCCTAGGGGAGATTAATACCAAGGCTATTGACCCTTGCCTGGGGGAGATTAATACCGAGGCCATTGAATTGATCGAAGCACAGAGAACTTCTAATGCTAGACCCATCGTGGTCCATCGTTATTGAAATATTGTTCCTCTAATGGGTATGCCACATGCACGAATGAAACGATTATTGATGCTAAGATTGATACTTGTGATGATAATGAACTTCATTCATTTAACCTCTTTATTTTGTTATTACTCATTGGGCTCTAACTTACTATTTATTTATGTACATATATGTAGGTGGTCAAGCGGAACAACAAAGTTAGAGAGCCTCGAGTCTACCCTGGGTCAGTTTTTTAGGAGCTTCCAAGTGAAGCAACCAAGCTCGGGTGGAGCCGCGCTAGCTAACCCCTCCCCCCCCTCCCCTCCCCTTTGTGTATTTTAAAGTTTGTATATTTTGGATCATATATATATATATATATATATGGATATGGAAGACATAACTCATACTCATAATGGATGTATCTTTCAGACAAAACTTTGCTTAACATATCTGTTCTCCCCATATATGCACAGCTCAATGGATAATTTCTATGTCATTTTAGGCTTCCGCTAAGCCCCGTACTTTATAATTAAAGGTTCATTTGTATGGAGACCGTAGGTAATCTATGGTTACTGGCCGATCATGGCGCTAAACTTATAGGGACGGGTTTGGGGTCATGACATTGTCCTTGCATTTGCTTGGCCCAAGCCCACGAAAAGATCTGGCCCACGGCCAAGCCGGTGCTCTACTCTATTCCGGTGAACGTATTCTGTTTATGTCTGCCTCTAGATCCTCTTTTTGTGCCATTTCTCTCATTGTTCTTTTCTTTAGAGTCTACTTTTTCGAACTTTTTCCAATCAACCCACCAATTCTTCTATGCAATTCTATTATCAATTTTAATCTTCACTTTCCCTTCATGTTTGTCTCCCCCCAAATATGAGCAAACTTTGGCATAGTGTTAGTTCCTCCGAGGCCATGGCCTGATTCCAAAGGGAATATAACATTTCAACTTATGTCACTCTTAAGTCTAGCTAAAAAGAAGGCCAAATGGATGCGTATGGAGTCTAAGGCCCCTTTACTGGTAGTTTCCATAATCAAAGAGGGCATACGATTCCCCTTGACCCGCTTTTGCATCAATTCGTCCATCAAATGTAGGTTTTCCCCAATGCACGTCTCCATCAACGTTGTTATGATTGTTTGCAGCATCTCGACCCTGAATAGGTTAGGTCTAAACCTAGATATTAGGGACATTTACCACTACTACAACTTGTTGCATAACTATGAAGTACGAATGCGGGTGCGGGTATGGATACTGATACGGGTACAATACGAGTACGTCGATATGATAAGACCTAAAAAAAATAAGATACAAGATTTTTTTTTTTTTAATTTATAATTTGAGATCCAATCTACAAATTAAAATTCAATACCAAAACTAAAAAGAGAAATTCCAAAACCAAAAGAGAAATCATAGCTCAACAATACCAATACCAATACCAATACCAATACCAAAACAAAGTCTATAAGCTATTTTAATGCCATTAAATAGGAGAAATTACAAAATAAAATTTCATTCCAAAAGTAAGCTAAGCAAAATTTAAAAACATGAAGATATAGTTGTCACTTCCATCAACTTTATCATTGAATAATATATCTTTCATATCTGACACATTAAGTAAAGGATTTGCAAGTTCAAGTAAATAAGAACTCTTAATAAATTAAACGTATCTCCATTAATGTCCCATAACTTGATCTACTCCTGATGTACCCATAGAGTATCCAACTGCCAAAGAATGTATAAAAAGTATTTGGTACGTATTTCAAATACCCGGTACATATACAGCCCTATCGGTACGAGTATGGCAACATTTTCGGAGCACTCATGCTTCATAGTTGCATAATAAGGAAGGATCATAGCACGTACCCCACTGCTCAGGTCATCAACATGCCTAAAGTAAGGAAAAGGGGTACCATTCTGTTAATCTTTACTCTCTATGAGGGCAGTTTGTTACCCCATATGACTCAAGATTCTTCATAATTTGATCTCATCAAATAGCCTTCAATGATGTGTACTTATCCATGGGTGAACCACCTCCAATCAAGTATGCTTGCAAGTATTATTGCTCCTAAGGTGTTTGGTTCAAGTGGCCCAACTGACTTCATGATAAGCCCAGTCTAGACTGACCCAGCGGTGTCCAACCATTTGACCCAATTAGTTGTGTCCAGCCCAAGTCGTAGAGGATTACAAGCCTATGGAAAGATTTGGGCCAAGCTGGTGCTCTGCCCTATCTAGCCTTCTACTGTTATTCTGACCCCCTTCACTAATATTTTGAATCACTCCAAAAAATGAAAGACAATTGAAGCATTTGAAACACAATTTGAAGCATTTTATTAGAGCCAAATTTACCTAACCACAAAATTGGAATACAACATAATCGAAAGGTCCTAGAGTAAAATTTCACCCTTAATCAATTTATATTCAATCTAGAATAAGGAGGGCCAACTTTAAATGCAATCAGAAACTATCGACATCAGTGCAGCAAGAGTAAAGACATTTGTCAAAATTAGAAAATATTTCACAATATTCACAGAAGATGATGTTAATCTTTTATGGATCCCCAACCCTGTCCAACCCAAACATCACAAATAGAAAAATTATTGATCTATACACTAAAAAAAAACCCACAATAAGCTTTGATAGAAAAGATCAAACAATTATATAGATTAATCACCAGTAAATGCCACGTTTTGTTCTTACATAAAAAGACACAGAAAAAACAACTAAGAAAAAAGAAGAAATAGAAAACATATATTTAAATATAAAAAAAAAAAAAAGATGTAAGAAAGAAAAAATGTGTGTGAGGTTACTACCATGGTTGTTAAAATTGCGATCTGGATCGTAGGATCGCACGATCCTACGATCCTACTTTGCCAAAACGATCCAGATCGTTGTAGGATCGATGTTACAACAGGATTGCAAATAGGATCGTGTAGGATCGCATGGGATCGTGTGGGATCGTATGGGATCGTAGGTAAAATCGCAAGTAGGATCGTAGATTTTATGATTTTTCAACTTATTTTTAATATGTATCATTTAATTTTAATTTTTATCTTTTTTTTTTAATAGAAAGTAGGATCTTACGATCCTCGATCCGATCCACCAGACCCTCTCACCGATCCTACTTAGGATCCCGATTTTAACAACTTTGGTTACTACTAGCAAGCAGTACAACTCTTCCTACACGTTCCATAGTAGTCTGGAGAACCAATCATGAATACGGGATTTCTTTGACACTCCCCATTGACAGCCCACTGAGGGCAATTTTCATCTTCATCGGTGCAATCACTGCCTTCCAACTGGAATGGCACCCTTTCCCCAGTAATGGCTCTCACACAGAAGAATTTGGCGGCACACCACATCTCCCCTTCAAAGATAGGGCATCTGGCATGGTTACTACTACTATCAGGAGAAGCATTTGGATGGCTATTGAAGAAGAGAATTGCATTCCCTTTAGTGGGTTTCATCACGTTACTACTTTCTGTACAATCGGACCATATCCTATTCTTCAGTTTAGAGTTTTCTAACTGTGGACAACAAATTTAAGGATTCAATTTTCAGACTGGCAATAACAGAAACCACAGAGCATTAAGATAGTTTCTCTCTCACCTCTGACTCAGGGAAAAGGATCTGACCACCATGTGAGACATTTGAGAGATACAAAATGACTGTGGCCATCAAAGTCTCATTGAGTGCCAGCATCGATTTATTACCAAAATAATCATATTTCTCTTTGGTATCCTCAAGCCCAAAATGCAGAACTTGAAAAGGCTTACTGTTCTCTGAAAAAAAAATAGCCAACACAGAGTGCCAGAATACAAAGGTACATCATGAACAAAGAGAGTAATCAGGTAGCCAATGAGCAGGATATGGGAAAAACCTTTTGGAAGAAATGTCCAAGCTGAAATCCTTTCCTCAATTGTTGCCTCTATATCATCCTAGAAACCAGAAAGATTATTATCAGTGTCATGAGTTTCTAGTTATCAGGCAACAATGCTTAGTCCACATAAATATCAGCTAGCAGCATCTCTACCATGTATTTTGGTAAAACTTCAACCAGTTCTTAGGTCGCAGTAATTTCAAGACTGGTTTCTGATTAGGTAAGCTCATTCATTTCATCTTAAAGGAAATTTTGTAACGAAAAAAAAATCTTTTACAAGCAAGAAATGCAAAACCACGATCAAGCTAATAGTTGAACGCTTCACCCCGAGGAGTTGCAGAATATACGACTCAGTTTAGTTCAGCTTCGTTTGTTTCCATTTAGTTGCGGAATATACCACACAGGCAAGATATGAAGAAACATAGGTGAGAAATTCAGTTTAGTTCAGTTCTATTAGATTAGACAAAAACAAGAACAAATGCAATGTGACTGAAATAATAGAGAGAGAAAAATACATTCAAAGCAATCATCTAACAACCTCAGTTAACTATTTCAACAAGACCATCAATTCAGGTAAAGATCACCCATAAGAGCAAATTGTATACATAAGTTAAGGAAAGGTAACACTCACATTCATACTTGAAGAGATTTCTGAACTTCTGGGCAGCTTGCTTGTGCCAACTTTCCCCGAGTCACCACCATTCTGGATAGAATTCTCCTTGCTCTTTGTCTGAACCCAAAATACATATTTCTTAAACCAATTGCAGCAAAAACATTGAGTGTAAGGGAATCAAGAAAACAGGAATTTACCCAAAAAATTAGGCGGTCACACTCCTCCTCTGATAGAAAGCCTCTATATAAGAAGACCCTATCCCAAACAAATTAATGCCATTTTTCAGAAATGATCAAGAATAAACACACAGAATTCAACACATACTTGTATAACAAAAAAGTTAATTGTCATTTCACAAAGACCTAACTGGAAAACCTTATAAAACAGCAAAATTGTAATACCATGTAGAAATTTCCTTTTGAGTAACAGAAGGTTGCCCCATGATTAACATTATTGACTATTTCATCAAAACCATAATACTATCAGTCTATCACTGTTCCATCAGACACATAAAGAAGCAACAGATAATACATCAGAGTACCTGACCTTGGTCGCCAAGAAAGTTGGATAACTCGTGATGGATCAATTCTGTTAGACTGAATTGAATGGCCCAATCGTATGATTTTGTCTTGGTTTGCCTCTTTAGTTCTCAATTCCTTCCGGACACTGAAGCAAAATGGGGGTAAACAGAACAGCTAAATTAGCAGCAACATAACATATGAAAGGCATTTCTTTTCTCATTAACATGTAGCATAGCTACGTTCAATTATGAAGTATGGATACTTCAAAAAGGGAGACGTATCCATATCCGATACTTATCGGATACCGATACTCCTTGGATACTCGCAGATACATATTAGATACTTCTTAATTAATTTTTTATTAATTTTGGGGTATTGGATACTTAATTTTGAAATATCGGATATTCGAAGTCACATATTACTTCTAATACTTGGTTTAGTTCTTTGATAAGAGGAAGATAGTGAGAGTTAAAGTAATAGAATTTGTCAAATTGATGTATCTTTATTGTCTCTCTCACTTCTCTCTCACTCTCTCACATTTCTTCTCTCTACTCTCGTTCTTTTTTTTGGTGTTGACACGTAAAGATGATGTTTGATTTGCATTTGCATTTGCATTTGCATTTACTTTTACTTTAGTTTTGGATGTTTTATGAATGTTTGAAGACTCTTAACTTAATAGCAATCCCTCTCTTTATTTATTAATCTGCTTTAGGTTTTATTTTCATGCATATAATATTATTAAAATTATAAAAATATATATATATATTTACAAATGTATTCCCGCCGTACCCGTATCCTACTTTTTTAGATTTTGGCGTATCGCCGTATCTATATTCCCGTATCGGCATATCCTGGAATATACGTAGTTAAAATCCATGACAAGTAGCTGAGCATTGATATACAACGAGAAGATTATTTTGAGTTTCTTGAGGATCCAAGTATATCCAAAAGATCCATGAAAAAAGAAATAGTAATTTGGAAATTAAATTCAATTTGTTCTTATATCTTGAGCAGTTGTATACCCAGAACCCTTGAAACAAATACACGTTTCACAAGTTCATACAGATTACTTATGCACTTTTCAATAAAAGGTTGGAACACAAGGCACAATAGAAACTAGTTCAGATTAAACCTAAAAGGCTCACAATCTCTTGTTCTTGTTGGAAGTTGGTTATTATACTTATTAGTTTGGCGCAAGCAGCGGAACTGAACTTAAATAACTGCATTTTCTTTACTCAATTGAGCTTCAATTAGCATTTTGAAGAAGTAGATCCTGGTATAATTTCCCCCAAGTTTTAATGTCAAAGCAACAAAACAGTATAGCATCTCTGTTGACTTCTTTGCCCCACTTCAGAATGATGAAAAATGACTTGCTGTCTTTATTTCAAAATGTCATTCTCCAAGATTTGGGAGGCAGTATTAATATCATCATTCCTATGTTAGTTTTAATAAAAAGCTCCATCTCTTATTATGAAGATACAATTCAACACACCATAATTTCATTTTACAAAGGGAAACAAAAAATATAAAACAAAAAATTCATGTTTGATTCTCTCGCTCAATCACTTCATTTACATGCGCGCACACCCACACACACAAAACACACACACATTCACACAAAGAGAGCAGCTTATTGACTGAAATTCCAAAAAACATCACCTTGCTGCTAAAGAAGGAATCAAAATTCTACTATTGTATTTAAGCTGATTACTTTCAACTTCTTATCTGAGTAGACTTTCAAGACAAAGTGCAAACACGGCAAGAAATAAACATTATAATTTTATAATTTTATTTTGTTAACTTATTGAAGCCAAAGCTTTAGTTTTACTAAAAAATAAAATAAATAAATAAATAAACAAATAAATGCTCATCTTAATACCAGCCTCACTAAGAGAAGTTCTATCATAAACAGGGGCGGCGCCATAAACTAAGGTTTTTCATTACCTATATATATATATATGTATGTGTGTGTGTGTGTGGTATATGAGTACTACATTAATTTGTTGGACTGAATACCATGGCAATGCTTTACAAATTGAAGACATGATAAAATAAAATATATATAAAAAAAAAAAAGTGACATGACAATGTTTAATCATATGATATGATATATCTATAATCATTAATACATGGGAAATGCTGCTATGCACACACCTTATCATGGAAAGTTATGAATTTTAATTGCGAATGTTACCAATGTTTGTGGTGTGTTATGCCACTTTATGGTAAAATTACAAATAAGTGAATACGAATCATTGTGGTTACGTTATGAACAACATGGTATAAATGTTAGAAACTATTTGTGATGAGAATTGTTATGAAGCATTTCGATGACAATATATTGTCGTGTTTGTTAGAGAACCTTTTAGTTATGGTATACCCCTTTTAAAAAATGCACAATGTAACCGCTCCCTTAATAGGCAATCATTTTAATGCTGTGTTTGGTTGGAGTTTTTGAGGTGGGATTTGGAAAAGGAATGAGAAATGTAATCCTATTTATGTTTGGTTATAATAAAAAATATATGGGAAAAGAAAGGGGGTGAGAAATAAATAAAGAAATAGGATCCTTTTAGGACATCAATTCTATTTTATAACCAACACAACCAAACATAGTTGGGATTTGGAATTCTATTAATTCTTTCTCCTTTTCCTTTCATTTCCATTTCCCTTTCCATTTTCCTTCCCAAATCCCCCAACCAAACACAGCGTAAGTGTTCCAAATAAAATCATAAACAAATTACAGTAAAAAAATTTAATAAGTATAGCATTATAGTAAAGTAGATACTGGGTGAAATTCTTACTCGCTTGATATTTTCTCTTTTTGTACATGGTTCATTTTCACGTCTATAATGTATGTATATATATATATATATATAGGATCTCTTTTAAGAAAAAAATCCTGGTGCCGCCACAGATCATAAATTCACGGGGAAAAAAAAAGGTGGAAAAAATTATAGCAGATATACCTAAACGCTTGTTCTACACAAACAAATTTAGTCACCATGCAGGAAATTTTTTTTTATTTTTTTTTTATTATTTTTTTTTTTTCAGTGTTTACTAGTTGAATCCGTCAAATTCATCTCTGCATTTACATGGAATATATACAGATATGGTATTTCTACAGCAAGCATCCACATTAACAACCCAGCCCATTTGGATTGTGTGATTTGGGAAGAAAAGAAAAGAAATGCTAAAGTTCAAAGAATATTTTGCAACAAATTAATCCAAATCAAGTAAAAATAAACCTAAAGTGGGAGAAATTGATATAGAGTTACTTACGTTTCTGCGTAAAGGTTCGAAAAGCAACAGGAAAAAGCCAAAAGTAGGAGAATGGGGTGATGGGTCGCCATTTGTGGACTGTAAAGACCAGAGCCGCAGAGAGATGGATAGATAGAGAGAGAGAGGAGACGCTGAAGGGGACAAACCAGGGGCTTTTCCCAAACTAGGAGCTTTTATATACACACATCTAATCTCCTCAGTACACGCTTAATGATATTTAATTTTATTATAATTTTATCCTCAAGTAAAATTCAGTATATTTGGTTTGAATTTTTTGAATTAACTTTTTTAAAAATTGAATTTTTTAATTTTCATATATTTTTTGTTTTTAGTGAATATTTTTAAAATTTTAAACATTTTTTTTTACCTTTGTATCTAAGAAGTAAAAAAATTATGAAAAATTATTTTTAAAAATTAATAAATACATAAAAATATAAAAAAAAAAATGTACTGAATTCTCGTATTTTTTTTATATTTTTGGTATTTAGTGAATTTTTAAAACGTTTTTTTTCAATTTTTTTTACTTTTTAGGTATATTTATGTTCGGTATGTCTAAAAATTAAAACAAATTGCTCAAAATATTAAAAAAATTCAATAAAAACAAAAAAACACGAAAAATAAGAAAGTAAAATTTTCTAAAAAGTGTTTTTGAAAAGTGGTAACCAAGCATAGTGATTATTATTTTAGACATCTGCCAAATTCAAAAGTCTCAATGCACACATCCAGACTTCACGTTGAAGTTGAAGCTGAAGCTCCTCCAGGTTCGGCTTCTTCCATTGAGGTAGAAGTGAATGCACTCATTCATTAAGCTCCAAGTTTAGCTTCTTCTATTGAGCTAGAAGTGAAAGCACTCATTCTTCAAGCTCAAAGTTCAGCTTCTTCCATTAAGGTCCAAGTTCATAGTTTCTCAGCCTTCCTCATTCATCATTGTTATGGAGGATTTGCCTTCTGAAAAACAGCAAATAAGTGTTTATGAGAAACATAGCGAAAGAAATGTGAGTTTCTTTTTCTTTTTTTTTCCAGCGTCATTCGGATAACCAGAGCCGAATTGTGTTATTTGGTCCGGAAATCTACTACCGAAATAATTATTTATTTTCGGAAGTTGTTGTCCGAACAAATTATTTAATTTCGGAAGTTGTTATCCGAACAAAGTTAACTTTTACAACATTCAACTTCCGAAAGTTGAAAATAAATTCGGACAACTACTTCCGAATGAAGTAAAAAAAAAATTTTGCAAACTGTATACCAAATTTACAGTTTCGAATTGCAAATTAATCTTTATAATGCCATTAAAAATTTGTAATGTTATACAAAACATGCAGGAATATGTGTCAACTCAAGGAAGTCAGGTTTGCGTGGATTTTGTGTTGGATTACACCACTCAATTCACAACTGAACAGGTTCACTCTACGAAATTATAATGACTATGTTTCGAATTGCTCACCAAATATAAATGTTTGATAATATTTATTTAACTTTGTAGGTATTCAAAAGTAAGGATGAATTGCGCAACTGGGTACGTGAAGTTGGAAAGAGAAATGGTTTGGTCGTTGCAATCAAAACATCAGACTATGGTGGAGGGAAAAAAAGACCCAGGATGTATCTTGCTTGTGAGAGGAGTGGCCAATATAGAGCAACAAAGAAGTTAAAACATGATAGCAACAACACATCAAGAATGTCACGACCCGAACCCGCCCCCATGGGTTAAGGACGTAACCGGCCAGTAATCCTGAGATTACCTACGGCCTCAAACCAAAATAGACATAAGTCAACAGAGTAGAGGGGCCAAACAGAAGCAATAATCAAAAACTTTGTCCATAGAGCCGTGCTTATATGCACTTCAAAACAAACCAAACTCATATACGTTAATAACCCACGTCAAAAGTACAGTACCATAAAATTCCTTATAGACAGGATCATCTAATTAAGTCAACCCATGACAGACTATTTATAGATATACATAAAGTCCTTGCTGGCCAGACAAAATATAATTACATAGTAAAAAGGCAAGGATAGGTCTCAAGAGTGAGACGCAAGGCTGACTTCCTCAAAACTTGTATTTTTCCTAGCAGACTTCACTAGGGCTGGGTTTGGACTTCCCTTGGCTCACCTACAAACACATGAATGAGCGTGAGCGATAGCCCAGTGAATAATATCAAATACAGAAGTCATATAAACAATATGTAGAATAATATACTCCAAACGGCCTTGGGCCCAATTCATATTCCTACTTAACATATGTACATTTATACAAAGTTTAGATCAAGTGACTGTAGTTCTAAACATATTGGCCTTTGGCCCATTCTGATTTCCATCTACGTCAAAACGGCCTTCGGCCCATTCATTTATGTCAAAACGGCCTTCGGCCCATTCATTCTTGTCAAAACGGCCTTCGGCCCATTCAGTCTTGTCAAAACGGTCTTCGGCCCATTCATTTATATCAAAACGGCCTTTGGCCCATTCATCTGTGTCAAAACGGCGTTCGACCCACTCATTCATATCAAAACGGCCTTTGGCCCGTTTATTCATGTCAAAACGGCCTTCGGCCCACTCATTCATGTCAAAACGGCCTTCGGCCCGTTCATTCATGTCAAAACGGCCTTTGGCCCATTATCTCTATCAAAACGACCTCTGGTCCATTCATCTATTCGTATCAGGCTTTTGTCCACGATCCAAATTAGCAAATTCATAAGGCTTATAAGGGAATAACAAGTAGACATTCACAAGCTTTTAAATATTGATATTACTTACAGTGATCGGCTTGTGGATTTGCCCTGGAGCTTGACCCTACACATTTCATGAACACAAAAAGGGTCACTAACAGTTCAACCCGTTCTTTGCTTCACACGTTCCTCATTAGGCTTTATTCATATCTCATTAATTCATTTACAATGCTTAACATGTGCCTACGAGTGCTTACAAGTGAAAGAGAACGGAAAACAGAACTCAGAATGCAAAAACAGAATCTCAGAAAACAAGGTCCCCGCTCGAGCGTGGACTTCCCCGCTCGAGCGGACGCCTGGGGCCTGCAAAAGTACTGGATATAGGAAATTTAAGCTCGAGCGTTAAATCTGGCGCTCGAGCGGAATGCCTCTTTACATGGCTCCCCGCTCGAGCGCAAACTTACCCGCTCGAGCGGAAGCCATGCCTGCAAAAAGTTTTGGATGTCTTATTTTTACGCTCGAGCGTGACCTAGGACGCTTGAGCGGAAGTCCATCCTACGTAGCTCCCCGCTCGAGCGTGGACTTCTCCGCTCGAGCGTGGACTTCTCCGCTCGAGCGGACATCAAGGGCTGTAGAGAATATTGGGAGCACGTATTTCCCGCTCGAGCGGCCGTTACCCCGCTCGAGCGGACATCAAAATCTGGAAATTCCAGATTGAGCTCTTGAGCTCCAATTCGAAATCTCAGCCTCAATGCTTGCATGCAATGGCTCAAATCTCAAATATAATCATACTAACGTGGTACCAATGCAAGATTATAACATCATAGAGCTCAATTTCTTGATTTATCTACATGCATGTCCCAAATATGTCAAACTCAACACCAACATAACAAACTCATGCATTCAAGCTCATATCTTCTCAAATTGTACATGCATGTGATGAATTAGCCACACCCTCAACTTAGGTAACACAAATGGTGATCAAGACGTGAGTTTCCTTTAACATTTCACATGGATTATACACATTTGTGCTCAAACATGCAATATCAAGGTGATTTCCTACATGCATGCACATATTAAGCTTCAATTTAACAAATACAACCCAATTTCATTTTAACCTTACTCTTGATCACCAAATTAGCTTGAACACACAAAATAACAAACTATACTCCAAGAATCACTCACCTAGAAGCTTTGATCTCCTAAGCTCTAGTCAATTCTTGAGCTAAATCTCCAAGATTCCCAGGCTTTAGGCCAAATTTACACAATTCTCTCCTCTCTCACTCTAACAGCCGGCCTTGCCTCTCTTTAGAGAGTTGATCAGCCCAAATGAAGTTAAAGGAAGGGAATTGAGTGTAACATGCCTTTACATAAATCCCCACTCACAATATAATAATAATAATAAAGTAAGTTGGCATTATTCATCAATTTAATCGATTTAATCTAACCCGAATCAATTTCTAATTAAATTTCACCGTAGGCTCTAAAAATTATGTCAATCACGATGGCGTAATCAATTTCGGGTTCTATGGCCGATAAGGCCCTCAATTTAATTTCCAAAACAGATTATTCAGACAGGTATTCCTACGGTGAACAGATAAGACTTGAAAATCACAAAAATTCACATAATGGCACATAAAATCATGCTAAACACATAATCATACTCAAATTAAGGACCAATTAGCATATTACGGGACAGGAATATCACAGTCTTCCCCCCTTTAGGAAGTTTGGTCCTCCAAACTTAATTTACCTTCGTCGGGAAACAAATGTGGATAGCGTAGACGCATTTCCTCATCTTTTTCCCATGTAGCATCTGTCCCATAGTGTTCTTTCCATTCCACTTTCACCATTGGAATGGATTTGTTTCTCAATTCTTTCACTTGTCGGTCAACAATTCTTTCCGGCCATTCAGCATATTCCATATTTTCATCAATAGCAACCCGGTGATAATCAATCACATGCAACGGGTCTCGGAGGTAACCCCTCAACATTGACACATGAAACACATTGTGGATTTGCTCAAATCCCGGTGGCAAGGCAACTCTATAAGCAACTGGACCGAGTCTCTCCAAAATCTGGAACGGCCCAATGTAACGGGGCGACAATTTGCCTTTTTTCCCAAATCTGACTTGGCCTTTCATCGGAGAAATACGGATGAACACATGGTCACCAACCTCATACTCAAGAGGTCTTCTTCGAATGTCTGCATAACTCTTTTGTCGGTCCTGAGCTGTTTTGAGCCTTTGACGAACAGTCTTGATTTTCTCAAAAGTATCCTGCACCATCTCTGGCCCAAGCAAGGCTCTATCCCCGACCTCTGTCCAACAAATGGGTGATCTACATCTCCTACCATACAAAGCCTCGTATGGTGCCATGCCGATGCTAGAGTGGAAGCTGTTATTATAAGCAAATTCTGCAAGTGGCAAATAATCTTCCCAACTCCCCTGAAAATCCAAAGCACACATGCGAAACATATCTTCCAAAGTTTGTAT